GTGGAAGCAACCCAAATGTCTATCAACAGATGAACAGATAAACAAAATGTGATATATATATATATATATATATATATATATATATATATATACACACACGCAATGGAATACTATGCAGCTTTAAACAGAAAGAAATACTGTCACAAGCTATGATACTAATAAAACTCAGGGACACTGTGCTAAGTAAAATAAGCCAGGTCCAAAAATATAAATGCTCTATGATTCCACTCATATGAAGTATCTAAAGTAGTTAAAATCACAGAAAGTAGAAAGGTGGTTGCCAAGACCTGGTGGAAAAGAAAGAGGGAATTAATGCTCTATGGGTATAGAGTTTCAGATGTGCAAGATGAAAAGTTCTAGAGATCTGCTATACAATAACATGAACATATTTAACACTATTGAACTATATGCTTAAAAATCGTTAGGACGGTAAATGTAATGTTTTTCAACCACACTAAATTAATAAATAGGGCAAAATAATTCAGGTAATCAATTTTTAAAAGTTATCTGCTTTAATGTACATGCTTACGTTATTTAAATTTTTACAACAAATTTTATTTCTAAAAAGCTTTAAATTAATTATTTTACGGTTCCCCAATATAATAAACCAATTTTTCAATCAAGAAAGACTTCAAAATCATGATTTAAATATTTCAGACCCCTTTCTGCTATTCAAAGTGCTTTGATTTGAACTTCTTTCTTTGTGTAGATATTTCTCTCTGAGATTCTCTCTGAATCATGAGGCAAAACACCATTATATTAAAATACCACTTCAATCTCACAACCACCCCCAACATGAATATCCTTAGCTTTTGTCAGAACCCCAAAGAGTCCTCTTACCAAAATTAAGTACTTCTGCTCTCAGATGGTATCCCTACTGGGTATAGAGCCCTATAAGGGTGCTGCATGGAACTTCAGTAAAACTTTGTATTAATTACCTCAGTGTCACCTACAACTCTGTACCATTGTCTCTTCCATTAAGACTGCAAGCTTTTTGAAAACCAAGAAGAGTATTAAATTTATCTATCTCTGGCACCTAGATGTGCATGAGAATATATTCAATGAAACCTCTATAGACATATGATTGAATGAAAGAAAGATCTCTATATTCCCTTCTACTTTATACACTATATTTACAAGAGGTGAAATTTTTTTTTTTTTTTTTTTTTTTTTTTTTGAGACAGAGTCTCACTCTGCTGCCAGGCGCCAGAGGTGAAATGTTTTCTATAGGCATATCACTTGGAATGATTAGAGTAGGCAAAGGATACAAATAGAAAACAGAATTCTACTTCCTTTTTTTCTCAAGTGCTGTAGTACTTACAGAGAATAAAAATGTAAGTTTTCCTGGCTAGACACCCTGCATCTTTCCCTGGAATCCCAAGCCCTCAACTGCAGTATTGCTAGCCACTGACAAACACTTCAGCTCAGGACCTAGACATGTCTCAAAGAGAAACTACAAAAAGGGCTATTTAGAGAACTAACATTTTCATTTTAAAAACCCCCAAAACATGAACCAGCAATGGTAATGCAATAATTCTGGAGACTGGTGGTTCTAACAAAGAAAACTGATAGGAAATAGGGAACAGACACACAGGTATTTAGACATAATTGGAGGGAAGTAGTCAAGAGATAACACTCAGCTGGAGCCATCAACCAATTCTAATAACTTGCTCATTACAGGACTTTGGATGATGTGGCCCACATTTTCCCTAACAATTCAATTATATTAACAGCTTTATACTTTTATAGAATTGTGTATTACGTGCAACTTTCCCTTTTTAACAATAAATAGATTTTGGTAACATAAAACTGTCAAGACATGGCAGTGTTTTATTACAAACTGACACAGAATAGCATGGTGGTGAAAGAGCAAAGTTTCTATAGCTAGACTGGATGATTAGAATCCTGGCTCTGTTCCTTAGCAGCTATATGACTTTGAATTATTATTTAACCTGTCTCGGTCTCAGTCTCTTTATCAATAAATAAAGATAGTTAATAGTATACATCTTATAACAGCATTGCCTAACATAACTTTCTGTGATTCTGGAAATGTTCTACTCTGCACTGACCAAATGGTAGCCACTAGCCTAATGTGGCTACCGAGCAGCTTAAATATGACTAGGATCAACTAAGGAACTAAATGTATAACCTTATTGTATTTTAATTGATTTAAATATAAATAGTCCTATGTGACTCATAGCTACTATCCTGGGAAGCAGTTTTATATGTTGTAAGGATCATATGGGCTACACATTCAGATCAATATCTGGCACACAATGATCAATAAATATTCATTATTGACATTACCCAGCATGCCATGGAAAATTGGTAAGAAAGTATGGGTTATAATTTTCTTTGACACTTTCCCTAAATCTTGTTGATAATTCTTTTCCCTACTACCTATATTTACTGGCTAATTCCCTTCTAGCTGGCACCGGCTTCAGGAAACACCTGACTAGCCTGCACACCAAGCCCTACCCACCCTTCCTGGGCTTAACACATGTGCTGTATGTTCAGTTTTTCTTAATATTTTGCAGACTATTAAGAACACATTTGGTCCTGGTCTCCTTCAGATTTTACCACCATCATCCCCTAAACCCATCCCACTCCCAGTGTACTTACTACTTTTACCAGAATCTTTCCAGTATTAAAGCATATTGATTTCCTATTGGAATAATTTGTAAGATGATTTTATTATTGCACTTGACATAACCAAATTACTTAGTCATTCTAAATCTTACCCATCTCATCAGGCTCACCAAAAAAAACCTACTAAAATTATCATCACGTTGTTTTTCAATGGAGGTTAGAATGAAGTTAGAAAGTGTTATCTTTCATTCCCTAGTATATACTAAAAGGCAACCACTCATGTTTTAGCACATATATGTTATCATTGAAAAGGTTATGCCAGGCGCAGTGTCTCACGCCTGTAATCCCAGCACTTTGGGAGGCTAAGGTGGGCGGATCACCTGAGATGAGGAGTTTAAGAGCAGCCTGGCCAACAAGGTGAAACCCTATCTCTACTAAAAATACAACAATTAGCCAGGCATGGTGGTGGGCACCTGTAATACCAGCTACTTGGGAGGCTAAGGCAGGAGAATAGATTGAACTCAAGAGAGTTCAATAAAATATGCTTGTAGATGCAAAAAGATAACTGAATCATGAAAGTGGTGACAATGCCATTTCTTCAACGTTGACTGTTCTAGTTTGTAGTAAGTTAAAAAAAAAATACTGGAGGACAAAATTTCACTTGTAAGTTATTTGGCATATCTGTATATTTTGGTTGCATTAATAATTGAAAAATAAGCAATATGCTAATTTTTAGTAAGTATCTTAATTCCCTACACATAAACTATTACAATTAAATCCTGTGTAGTTTGTTTTTTTCTAAGCAACCCTACTAACATGACTGTTCAGTTTTTTCATCACCTCTATTTTACAGTTTACTTCCTATATTTTATATTTGGTTGTTCTTTCAGAACATGTCATGGGGAGTTTTAACAGACAGCACATGACACATTATTCTTTCCCAATTTCCACAATTAATCCTGAACTTACTCCATTTCCATTTGCAGAAAGTCTGAAATATTTTCCATTGACACTTCATAGGGATAGAGCTGCAGAGTTCTATTTCACTTTGCAATGGATTACTAGAAATCCATTGGAGGTCCCCTATTACACGGACAATCATAAAAACCAAGACAAGAAACTAATAGCCTATATTCTCTAAAACCATGTGCATCACAAGATCATTAGGTATAAGCATTTCTAAGGCATGAGAGAATTAGCACTTCACAGCTACAAGCACAAGATGTCACTTTCTATAATCATCTTTATTTCTTTCAATTGAGATGGAAACCTGCATCTCACTTAAGGATTATAGAGCAAAAAGGATCAGGAACATTTATTTTGGCCTATATCCTTTTGTGTCTTTTTCTTTCTCCTGATGCTCTCTTATTAATCCAGAATTCTTATTTTTCAAAGAAAAGACTAGCTTAAATTTTTATCCCTTTGAAATGTATCTCACTGGACCCATTATAAATTACTTCTTAACTGAAGTGAATTTTCATTTATTTTTAAATTTCTCAGTCCCTAAGGAGTATCACATTCTTTACGTTACTTTAATCAGAATTTTATATTTTAACTTTGCCTAGAGTTGGAATTTCAGAGAGCTTAAAAGTATTTGCATTTTTTAATTTAAACAGTAGCCTGTGAGGTATACTTAGCTTCTTGAAAGAGATAACGATTTTCAGAAAAATGCCTTACAATTTTCACATTCTTTTAGAAAGCTGCCCGGAAATTGTATAATTTCCGGGCAGCTTTCTAATAACATTCAAATTGACAAGGGTTTTAAAAAACTTTAATTTTAATGGTCTCACCCAGAAAATCTGCCATTTAAATTTCTGTAGGAGAAATACTGATATTTACAGAAAATTGTGGATCCTGACCACCTTGCTTAATTCATCTTCTGAAGTATATTTTTACAGACTAGGTTTTACTAAGCAGAAAGCAAGAAAGAAATGAAGTTTTTAAAAGATTTAGACCAAAATACTATTATGCCATTTTGGTCTTCCCTTAAGTAATTCTAAGACAGGATTTCTCAGCCTCTGCATTACTGACGTTTTGGGCTGGATAATTCGTTGTTGTAGGGGGGCTGTCTTGTGCATAGTAGGATGTTTAGTAGAATCTCTGGTTTCCTCTATCTACTAGACGCCCATAGCACCCCTGTCTCACCCCTTCCTGACTCCACAACTTCTGACAAGCAAAAAAAAAAAAATCTCCAAACGTAGCCAAATGCCCCTTAGGGGTAGAGGAGAGGGACCTAAAAATGGCCCTAATTGAGAATCGCCTATGTTTATTTTATGCATCATCAAAACTAAAGATTGTACTACAGTAAGCCTCAGTGTTTATTTTTACAAAGGAGGCATGTAGCAAGTAGAACCAACATCTTATGTGATGGTGAAAACATATTTTAAACTATGATCAAATGGAGATTATAATTATAAATTACTCAGTTTCTGTGCAGCAAAGTCTGATTTCAATTGAACATCAGCTACTTTCAAAGTTATTTCTCTGTAAAGGGAACCACTCACTTTTAGGTTCGTTTGCAACATTTTCTTCTTTTCTCTCTGAAGTTTTTTTCTGTAGGGATAGATTTCCTCCCTTCTGTCTGATAAAGTAGCCGCGACGACACTACTCTTTCCTTTGCTCACTTCACAGCTCTGTACAAAATTGCTTTCATGTTTAGCTATGGCAGAAGAAAGAGAACTAAGGGTGACTAGTTCCTTTTCCAAAGCAAATGCCATATTATCAATTAGGAAATTCTCACTTCCTGATTTTAGATTTTTGAGGGAATACTTTATAGGAAGAATTCTGATGAGATTATGAAGGCACTGGAACATAACTGTTTGATTCCTAAAATTAAAAAAAAAAACATAATATTACAAAAGTTAGGACAGCACAAAGCACTCATTACAATATACTGCAGTAATCAATATTCATTTATAAAAACCATAATGATAAATAGAACCAATTATGCACGTGAGCATTGATAAAATTCAGACTACAGCAATCAGATATACATAACCCATATCAAGTCAATCAGATTGTTTCCAATTAAAATATTTTTTTGCTGAGTAATAAGGTCAATATATTATTTTTTAAAATTTTACTGTGGAGAAGAGGTAATGGGAAATCCAAAAATAATTACTAGGCACTAAAAAAAAAAACAAAAACAAACATAAAATTAAAACAGAGATCTTCAGTTTCTAAATGAAGCCAATACGTCCATTCACGCTAGGCCATGGCTCTGACATGTTTTTCAATAATACTGAACCCCACGTGCGGATCACAGTTGAACCATACATTGATCACACGCATACGTACTAACTTCTCTGTACTGATTACAATTTAATGTGCATTACCTGGAACAGACTATTAAAATCCCTTCAAATGGTGTTCTTTGTTTCCAGGTGAAAAGTGTCCCATAGAAACTTCCTGGCCTTTTACAAAAGTACACTTCAGGAAACTCTTCGATTACTTCACATTTCATATGTTCTAAGAGCCACACTTTCATTGAATTCAGGGCATAGCCAGGTGATGTGATTTGAAAACAACATTTGTGGAATGCTGCGAGAAGTGCAAAAAGATCTTCCACGTGCTCTGCAAAAGGAGTCACAAGCTCTATAATTTAACTCTGTCCATTATCAGATAAACAGAATTCTTAAAATTTTCTAATTCAATTAAATATATAATTTAAAAATACCAACAAAATTACCTATAGGTTTCTTCTTTGGAAATGTCAGTAGGTACTTCCCAGTTGAAAGATCTTCTAAACTTAAAACAACTCTGCCACACACAACATAATGATTTTTAGGGCAGTTAGCACTCTCTGTCTCCATAATTTGTAGCAGTACAGTGCAACAAAATTTGCTAAATGCTAAAAGTGGTGAAAGAGATGTTATGGCAGTAATTATATGTACACACTCTTTCTTAGATGGGTGTTCACAAACAAAGCTTTCCACTTTCTTGCTATCAGGGGTCAATTTGACCCTTTTTGCTTCCAATCCTATTTCACATGGCATCAAGTATGGTGCTGGGAAAGGTCTTGTACTCAACTTAATCACTCTATTTTGACACTTAAGAAGCCGAAATCCAGAGCCATGGGCTTGATTCATTAACAATGATAAAGTCGCATCATTCAGGGACCTGTAAAAAACCCAGATTTTGGTTTAATCTAAAAGCGCATTCTTTAAAATCAAATTGATAATTAAATGTCATATAAACAACAGTTTAAAAAAATGTTTATTATTTCCTTTCCTAGAAAACATAATTTCAAATGTAAAATATATCAGAAAGTTAAGATTAAAAGTCAAACACATTTTTAAAGGTCCTGTGATAACACTTCTCTTTAAAAAGGCAAGCAAAAACATTGTAAATATGCTAGGTTTTAGAAAACTAAAATTTTTAAGATAGAGGAATGGCATTAGGAATGATAATAAGAGAAATTAAAGTAAGAAAAAAGCTTTTTTTAAGATAAAGGAATGGCAAAATAATGCCAGGATTTTATTTTTGAGATAGGTCTTTTTTTTCTCCTCTTTCTAAACAAGAAAAAACTTACTTGCTATTTTTTAACAGTTTATTTAGGTAATACCTTAGAATGAAAATCACTCTAAACTAAAAATCATATTTTATGTTCCTCTAAATGAGTTGAATAAAATCTGCTTTTTCATTCAGAATATTGTTTATCCCTCAGGAATTCTTTCCATATCTACATTTATAATAATTTACAAACATATGCAGGCTTATTATAGTACATTCCAGCACTGTCAAGTCCAATTTATAGTCCTTATCTGGCTCATGATTTGAAAAAATATTTTAAAATTCAGACAAATGGGATATTTGACCATTTACTGGGGGAATAAATTTTTTAGGGTGTAATTATATATATATTTTAAGTTCTTACATTTTAGATACATACACTGGAATAGCTACAGATGAAATAATATAATGCCTTTGAGTGCTTCAAAATAATCAAGGGGCTGGAAGGTGAGGAGTGCATGGAGGTATAAATGAAACAAGATTAACAATTAGTTGATAAGTACTGGAGCAGAGTTATGGGCAGAAGGGTTCACCACACTATTCTCTTTGTACATTTGAAATTTTCTATATATAAAAACATTTTTAAGTAATTCTGCTTAGTATATGAAAAAAAAAAAGACAAGATGAAAAATATAAGAATAAAAATTACCAGGCAGATCTAAAAGAGAAAGAATAAAACTTATGACAATACAAATAATAATAAAACTTAGAAACTCAATGACTGGATTAAATAGCTGAATAGAAAGAATTTAAGGTAAAATTAGTGAAAAGAATACAGATAACTCTGCTCCAAGATGGCTGAACAGAACAACTCCGGCACACAACACCCACTGAGAGAGACATAGAAATCCAGAGATCTCCTAGCTCCAACCGAGGTACCAGGTGCATTTCAACAGGTCTGGTCCAACAGTGAGCAAAGTCCAGGCAGGGCAGACCAAGGTGGGGAGGGGTGCTGCTTCACCCAGAAAGTGCATCTGACTGGTGAGACAGAGGCTCCTCCTCTGGCACTCCAGTCCAGATACAGTGCTTCTCACAAAGCCTCAGCAATACACAGAACAGGGTATCTTTGCCAGTCAAGTGCCAGGAATTACAAGTGTGGACTTGAATAATAATCCAGGATGGTGCCCTGGATTGACGCACAGACCTAAAAAGACGCATAAGCCCAAAAGCCAGCCTGGAGAGCCTGTGGACCAAGCTATCACCCCCTCCCCTAACCCGGAGAGAGAGGGAGCTGTAAGCAGGAGGATGGATGGATGAAGCAGCTGGGTGGGCCCCTACCCCATGACTGGAGAGAGAGGAAGCTAAAAGGGGGAGACAGCTAAGTGTGGCTGGGTGGGTCCCTACCCTCCCCAACAAACTCCAGAGGGCTGAAGCTCTAACTCTAGTGGGTGGCACAGCCAGTGCCACAGTCTGAGATGAACCCTGAATGACCCAGCCCAGGGGAGGAAGGGCACAACCCACCATTAGAGGGGTGGGACTGGGCTACATGTTTTAACAAAAAACACAGGAAACCTATGTAGCAACGGGACTGCCTTCTTGACCACCCAGCAGTGCTGCCAGGTCAGTGAAAGAGGCAGGCCTAAACTCCCAGTGGAAACAAAAAAGAACAGGAAGCTTCCCTAGTAACCTGAAGGAGTCCCTAGAAACCCAGTAGTGCCTCAACAGGCAGACAATAGACCTCATCAAGCAGCTCCCCGAGACCACAGCCAGGTAAATCCACAAAACTGGGGAAAAAAACAGTGCAAAAAAGATGAAACCATCAAAGACCAGAAAACCTCTTCTCCTTCGAGGGATCACAACTCCTCAACAACACGGGAACACAACACGACTAAGAAAGAGTGCGACGAATTGACAGAAACAGGCTTCAGAAGGTGGATAACAAACTTTTCTGAGCTAAAGGAACACATCCTAACTCAATGCAAAGAAACCAAAAACCTTGAAAAAAGGTTAGACGAAATGCTAACTAGAATAACCAGCTTAGGGAAGAACATAAACAACTTGATGGAGTTGAAAAACACAACACGAGAACTACGTGAAGCAAACACAAGTTTTAATAGCCAAATCGATCAAGCAGAAGAAAGGATATCAGAGACTGAAGATCAACTCAGTGAAACAAAAAGAGAAGGCAAGACAAGAGAAATAAGAGTGAAAAGAAATGAACAAAGCCTCCAAGAAATATGAGATTATGTGAAAAGAACTAATCTATGCTTGATCGGTGTACCTGAATATGATGGGGAGAATGAATCCAAGCTGGAAAACATGCTCTAGGATATTATCCAAGAGAACTTCCCAAGCCTAGCAAGGCAGTCCAAATTTCAAATTCAAGAAATACAGAGAACTCCACAGAGATATTCCTCAAGAAGAGCAACCCCAAGGCACATAATCGCCAGACTCACCAAGGTTGAAATGAAGGAAAAAATGCTGAGGGCAGCCAGAGAGAAAGGTCAGGTCATTCACAGAGGAAAGCCAATCAGACTCACAGCAGATCTCTCCACAAAAATCCTACAAGCCAGAATAGAGAAGGGGCCAATATTCAACATCCTTAAAGAAAAGAACTTTCAATCCAGAATCTCATATCCAGCCAAACCAAGCTTTGTAAGTGAAGGAGAAATAAAATCCTTTTATTTAATTCTTTAATTTAGGACAAGCAATTACTAAGAGATTTCATCACCACCAGACCTGCCCTACAAGAGCTCCTGAAAGAAACATTAAGCACTGAAAGGAAATAGTACCAGTCACTGCAAAAGAAAACCAGTTGGCAAAGACCAAAAATGCATTGAAGAAAATGAGTCAACAAGCAGGAAAGAAAACCAGCCACTAACAAAATGGCAGGATGAAATATCCACACAACAATATTATCCTTGAATGTAAATGGCCTAAACACCCCAATCAAAAGACACAGACTGGTAAACTGGATACAAAGTCAAGACCCATCAGTGTGCTGTATTCAGGAAACCCATGTCACATACAAAGACACACATAGACTCAAAATAAAGGAATGGAAGAAGATTTACCAAGCAAATGGAGAACAAAAAAAAACCAGGGGTTGCAATCCTAATCTCTGATAAAATGGACTTCAAACCAACAAAGATCAAGAGAGACAAAGAAGGACACTAGATAATGGTAAAAGAATCAATCCAACAGGAAGAGCTAACTATCCTAAATATATATGCCCCCAAGATAGGCGCACCCAGATACATAACACAAGTCCTTAACAACCTAAAATGAGATTTAGACTCCCACACAATAATAGTGAGAGACTTCAACACTCCACTGTCAATATTTGACAGATCAATGAGACAGAAAATTAACAAGGACATCCAGGACTTGAATGCAGAGCTGGACCAAGCAGACCTAACAGACATATACAGAATGCTCCACCCCAAATCCACAGAATATATGTTGTTTTCAGCAACACGTTACACTTACTCTAAAATTGAGCACATCATTGGAAGCAAATCACTCCTCAGCAAATGCAAAAAAACGGAAATCATAACAAACAGTCTATCAGACCACAGTGCAATCAGACTAGAACTCAGGATTAAGAAACACACTCAAACCTGCACAACCACTTGGAAACTGAACAACTTGCTTCTGAGTGTCAAGTGGATAAACAATGAAATGAAGGCAGAAATAAAGAGGTTCTTCGAAAGCAATCAGAATGAAGACACAACTTACCAGAATCCCTGGGACTTTAAAGCAGTGTCAAGAGGAAGATTTATAGCAATAAATGCCCATGAGGAGCAAGGAAAGATCTAAAAAAGAAACCTTATCATCAAAATTGAAAGAGTTAGAGGAGGAAGATTAAAAAAACTCAAAAGCTACCAGAACACAAGAAATAACTGAGATCAGAGCAGAACCGGAGGAGACAGAGACACAAAAAACCCTTCAAAAAATCAATAAATCCAGGATCTGGTTTTTTAAAAAGATCAACAAAATAGACCACTAGCCAGATTAATAAAAAAGAAAAGGGAAAAGGATCAAATAGATGCAATAAAAAATGATAAAGGGGATATCACCACTGATACCACAGAAATTCAAACCATCATCAGAGATTACTACAAACAGCTCTACTCACAAAAAGCAGTAAACCAGGAAGAAATGGATAAATTCCTAGACACTTGTACTCTACCAAGACTAAACCAGGAGGAAGTGGAACCCCTGAATAGACCAATAACAAAGGCTGAAGTTGAGGCAGCAATCAATAGCCTACCAACCAAAAAAAGTCCAGGTCCAGACGGGTTCACAGCCAAATTCTACCAGACTTACAAAGAGGAGCTGGTTTCATTCCTTCTGAAATGATATCAAACAATATAAAAGGAGGGAATCCTCCCTAACTCATTTTATGAGACCAACATCATCCTGATACCAAAACCAGGTAGAGACTCAACTAAAAAGGAAACCTTCAGGCCAATATCCATGATGAACATAGATACAAAAATCTTCAATAAAATACTGTCAAACAGATTGCAATAGCACATCAAGAAGCTTATCTATCACAACCAAGTAGGCTTCATCCAGGGGATGCAAGCCTTGTTCAACATAGGCAAATCCATAAATGTAATCCATCACATAAACAGAACCAAAGACAAAAACCACATGATTATCTCAATAGATGCAGAGAAGGCCTTCAATAAAATTCAACAGCACTTCATGCTAAAAACTCTCAATAAATTAGGTACTGATGGAACATATCATAAAATGATAAAAGCTATCTATGACAAATCTACAGCCAATATCATACTGAACAGGCAAAAGCTGGAAGAAGTGCCTTTGAAATCAGGCACTAGACAAGGATGCCCTCTCTCACCACTCCTATTCAATATAGTATTGGAAGTTCTAGCCAGAGCAATCAGGCAAGAAAAAGAAATAAAGGGTATTTAATTAGGAAAGGAGAAAGTCAAATTGTTTCTATTTACAGATGACATGACTGTATATCTAGAAGACCCCATCATCTCAGCCCAAAATTTTCTCAAACTGATAAGGAACTTCAGCAAAGTCTCAGGATACAAAATCAACGTGCAAAAATCACAAGCATTCCTATATACCAATAACAGACAGCCAAATCAAGAGCGAATTCCCATCCACAATTGCTACAAAGAGAATAAAATACCTAGGAATATAACTGACAAAGGATGTAAAGGACCTCTTCAAGGAGAACTACAAACCACTGCTCAACGAAATAAGAGAGGACACAAACAGATGGAGAAACATTCCATGCTCATGGTTAGGAAGAATCAGTATCGTGAAAATGGCCATACTGCCCAAAGTAATCTACAGATTCAATGCTATCTCCATCAAGCTACCAATGACCTTCTTCACAGACCTGGAAAAAAACACTTTAAACTTCATATGGAATCACAAAAGTCCCCGCATAGCCAAGACAATCCTAAGCAAAAAGAACAAAGCCAGAGACATCACACTGCCAGACTTCAAACTATACTACAAGACTACAGTAATCAAAACAGCATGGTACTGGTACCAAAACAGAGACATAGATGAATGGAACAGAACAGAGACCCCAGAAGAAACACCACACATCTACAACCATCTGATCTTTGACAAACCCAGCAAAAACAAGCAATGGAGAAAGGACTCCATGTTTAATAAACGGTGTTGGGAAAACTGGTTAGCAATGTGCAGAAAGCAGAAACTGGACCCCTACCTGTCACCTTACACTAAAATTAACTCCAAATGGATCAAAGATTTAAACATTAACACCATAAAAACACTAGAAGAAAACGTAGGTAAAACCATCCACGAAACAGGCATAGCAAGGACTTCATGACTATAACACCAAAAGCAATGGCAATAAAAGCCAGGATAGACAAATGAGATCTAATTAAACTTCAGAGCTTCTGTACAGCAAAATAAACCATCATTAGAGTGAATCGGCAACCAACAGAATGGGAAAAAATTTTTGCAATCTACCGATCTGACAAAGGGCTAATATTCAGAATCTACAAAGAACTAAAACAGATATACAAGAAAAAAGCAAACAACCCCATTCAAAAGCGGGCAAAGAATATGAATGGACACTTGTCAAAAGAGGATATACAGGAGGCCAACAAACATGAAAAAATGCTCATCATTCACTGGTCATTAGAGAAATGCAAATCAAAACCACACTGAGATATCATCTCACGCCCCTTAGAATGACGATCATTAAAAAATCTGGAGACAACAGATGCTGCAGAGAATGTGGAGAAATAGGAACACTTTTACACAGTTGGTGGGAGTGTAAATTAGTTCAGCCATTGTGGAAGACAGTGTGGCAATTTCTCAAGGATCTAGTAATAGAAATTCCATTTGACCCAGCAATCCCACTACTGGGTATATACCCAAAGAACTATAAATCGTTCTACTATAAAGACACATGCACACGTATTTTCACTGAAGCCCTATCTATGTACAATAGCAAAGACCTGGAACCAACCCAAATGCCCATCAATGATAGACTGCACAAAGAAAATGTGGTACATATACACCATGCAATACTACACGGCCATAAAAAATGATGAGTTCGTGTTCTTTGTAGGGACTTGTATGAATCTGGAAACCATCAATCTCAGCAAACTGATACAAGAACAGAAAATCGAACACCACATGTTCTCACTCATAGGTGGGTGTTGAACAATGAGAACACATGGACACAGGGAGGGGAGCACTACACACTGGGGTCTATAGGGGAGAAATAGGGGAGGGACAGCGGGGGACGGGCAGTTGGGGAGAGAGAGCATGGGGAGAAATACCAGATATAGGTGAAGGGGAAGAAGGCAGCAAATCACGCTGCCATGTGTGTACCTATGCAACAATCTTGTATGTTCTTCACATATACCCCAAAACCTAAAATACAATTTTAAAAAAAAAAGTCACTTTACTAAGAAAATGCCAGATTCCTACTGCATTCCAGGCGCCTAAAACCAAGTATCAAAGAGCAAATAATTCCAAATTTATGCAAACTGTTCCAAAGAACAGGAAAAAAAGGAAATATTCTTCAGTTCGTTGATAAACTAGTATAGCCTTCACACTAAAACCAGGCAAGTATCATTCAAGAAAATTTCAAGCCAATTTCACTCATGAATATAGATGCAAATATTCTTGACCAAAGGAGAGCAAACCAAATCCAGTGACAAACTGCTTATCACAAGAATGCAAGACTGGTTTTATAATATAAAATTGATTAATATAGATTACCACATTAAAGAAAGGAGAAGAAAAACCCAGATGATCAACCAGCCCAAAATAGCTTAGAAATTCGCTGAAACAAAAGAATAAATCCGTATCTCAAACCCACTAGATAAGTAGTCTAGCTCCCTTACTGTGTTAAGCTGCTCAAATATACTGCCATCATCTATTACAAGGCACTACCTGGTTTCTCTGTTTGTATATCTGTGGCTCAAATTCAATGTAGTTACTGTAATGCCTGTATTTAGCCTGTTTTGGCTAAAAAGCTCTTTGTTAGATTGCAAATATAGATGGCATGCACATTACTTCTCTATCCATAATTTTAGCAGCCCAAAAGAGAAAATTGTCTATTATCAGAGGAAGATACTTTGTTATTTAACTAAATTTTTACCTATTCACTTTGGTCAATAGTCTCTATCCCTAATACTTTTAAATGTTTTGATTAGAAAGTTCTGTATGCTATTTGATTATCTCCACCCTGAGACTGCAGCATCTTAATTTCATAAACCTCATCCTCTTCATATTATTAACTCAGTGCATTTTTGTAAAAGAGATACTTCCAGAGCTGTGCTAACCAAGAGAGTAGCTATTAGATACATGTGGCTATTAAGCACTTAGATATGTGGCTAGTTGGAATTGTGATGTGTTATACATATAAAATACACACCAACTTTTAAAAACTTAGTATGAAAAATAAATGCAAAATATCTCATTAATAATTTTTATACTAATTACATGTTAAAATGACAATCTTTTGGACTTACTGAGTTAAATAAAACATATGGGGCTGGGCGTGATGGCTCATGCCTGTAGTCCCAGCATTTTGAGAGGCCGAGGTGGGTGGAACATTTGAAGTCAGGAGTTTGATGGCAAGACCTCATCTCCACTAAAAATACAAAAACTAGCTGGGCATGATAGTGCGTGCCTGTAATCCCAGCTACTGGGGAGGCTGTGGCATGAGAATTGCTTGATCCCAGGAAGTGGAAGTTGCCAGGGAGCCAAGATCATGCTACTGTAATCCATCCTAGGCAACAGAGCAAGATTCTGTTTCAACAACAACAAAAAATTAATTTCTCTTACTTCTATTTACATTTTTAAATATGGCCTCTAGGACATTTAAAATTGCACATGTGGATTACATTAATTTCTATTGGACAGTACTGTTCTGGAGCATCAGATAGTGTTTCCATGTTGAAATTTACTTACAGCTTCAAAGATGATGTAGTTTTCACTCCAACAACCAAGCTATCATCCATAACACGATACCATATCTTCTCTACTAGCTGTTCTGAATCTTGAAAACTGTCTGACAATTTTTCATCTAAGATATGGACAGAATTTTCTTCTTCACCACAAAGAGGAACAAGACATTCCTTATTAAAAAAAAAAAAAAAAAAAAAACGTTTAAATAACTGATTAAATACGTACCATGTGTAGCAAACTTAAATAAAAAAGTGTGTTTTTGGCCAGGCCTTATGGCCTAAACATTTAAAAATAAATCATAACATATTATAGATTACACACAATTTACTAAAATGAAATGTATAAAACATATATAATTTCCTGTCTATTCATATCAAGAAGCGTAGCATGACTGGGGTATGGCAAGATAGGATATCCAACATAGAGCCAAAAGGGAGGTAAACCTGGAGTTCATTTTGAAAAAAAATCTGATAATACGTACCCCAGTTATACTGAAAATAATCCAGTCTGTATTTTGTCAACGACTTGCACTAAGCCTATAACTATAAACTTTTGTGTAGATAAAACTAATTAAACTAACTTTAGACTACTTAGAGCTTATTGCTAAAATTTTACTCTTAAAGTCCAAGTCATACTCATTTCCACACACATACAGATGTATAACATTAGAAACAGTAGTAATAAGAATAATAGTAATCATAGTAATAACATATATAACATCTATTGAGTGTTTACTTTATACCAGGCTCATTTAACTTACACAATAACCCTAGTACCCTAGGTCTGTATTGTTATCATCTACATTTTACAGATTAGAACAATTAGATACAGGGAAGTTAAGTAAATTGCCCAGGGTCACACAGTCAGCAAGTAGCAGAGCTGGGATTTGAACTGAAGCAGACTGGTTCCACAGCCCATGCTCTTCCGTAACTATTACCCTATACTGACTCTCTATGTGGTAATTACTGAAAAAAGATAGGGGCATTCACACAATAGGAGACTAAATATGTTCCCAGGAATGTGACACTTCTGCCAGTAGCTGTGAGTTCTGAAGCAGCTATTCATCTGAAACCTGGGGAAATTTTTACTACCTGCCAGGTTTGCTTTTAAAACTAACAATGTAAAAGGCCAAAAATGGGGCCTTGCACATGGTAGTTTCAATATATTAATTTCTAAACATTCGTTCCCCTTTCTAAAATTGGCAAAATCATTGAGGTGAGGAAAGGAAATGGGGAAACAATTGTAACAATGACTTTCATGAGGTTTCCCAGGAAATTAGAACAGTAATATAGAAATGCAACACAATGTGTTTCTGTTACGCTTTATTACATTAACGAGATAATATTTTGGACCCAAACCCTCATATGGCTAAGACTGAAACACAAATACAAATACAAAGCATAGGTCATGACAAGAATGCGCAATCCAGAAGGAAGTCAGAGCTAGGCACTGCAGTGACTGGAGGGAATAAAATGCAACATTAGTTCAGCTCTTATTGATTTACTTACAGTGCTGCTATGCTGTGTCTTTCTCTGTATGAAATTAATGTGCATAAGTCTTATTTTTATGAAGTTTCAGCAGTTTTTGCTAACTTCCTACATTAATGTACTGGTGTAAGTTACCACATAAGGGACCAGAGGAGGTTCTTATGATGGTCAGCCACAAGGAAGAAGAGATTAAAATTATGAAAAGCAGATAGAAGAACTAAAAAAAACCCACAGCACTGTAGGAACATTTGCTCGGGGAAAAAATATCCTTAGAAAGAAACAATGCAACAGACTAAAATAACAATCATTATATTAATAAAAAATGATGTCATCACCAATACAAAGTTAAATAATACTCAGTATATTGTATTTAAGAAGTCAGGAAACTGGGTGCAATGGCTCATGACTGTAATCCCAGCATTTTGGGAGGCCAAGGTGGGCAGATCACAAGGTCAGGAGTTCTAGACCAGCCTGACCAACATGGTGAAACCCTGTCTCTACCAAAAATGCAAAAAAAAAAATTAGCCAGGAGTGGTGGTGTGCGCCTGTAATCCCAGCTACTTGGGAAGCTGAGGCAGGGGACTTGCTTGAACCAGGGAGGTGGAGGTTGCAATGAGCCTAGATCACACCACTGCACTCCAGCCTGAGCAACAAATGAGACTCCATCTCCAAAATAAATAAATAAATAAAAGAAGTCAGGAAATATATAATTCATCTATGAGTAATTTCTATCCAAATAATACAAGTAAAAAAGTTTAACAGTTAAATCTACTGTAAACAAAAGGACTTGTTCCCCAAGGTTCCTGATAACTGAAATTTTAATATGCTCCAGAATTACATATAAACCAATAAAATATTGGCTCCTTAATCAAATTTTTTCAATGTCATAGAAGTCCACCATTATAACCTCTGCTACTTTTTTTCTTGATCGACTGAGCAGCATTTTCTAATGTATTCTAATATTTTAATTTAAATAACTCTTCAATAGCTTACAGATTTTCAATTCATAAAATTATAAAAATGGTCATGTGATTACTTTTACCTCCTTTGCACTTGATGTATTATCATCTTTTCCTTGAACCAGGTTTATTAAAGCTTCGTAAGATTTTGAAATAATTTTTTCCTTAAGCAAGAGATGCTGCTGTAATTCCCATAAAGAAGAAAAACCAACCTGTAAAGTGGAAAGAAAAAAAAACAGTTGCAAGAAACATGATTTCAAATGAAACCGGACATACCATTAATTCAGGAAGCACTTTCTCCAAATGTGCTTATCAATTCATTTTTCTATAGAAAGTAGAATGCTTCTCAGAGCAAAATTGTTGTGTTTATAGATTTTAAGTCTCTAAGCTCAAAAAATGTACATTCTTTCAAAGGAAAATATAGAAAATAACTGCAACATAGAGTTTATATATCAAATTGAGAGAGTGGCAATATAATAGCATGTTTCACGAGTGAGTTATTAAGTAACTTTGAATCAATGTGAATAAAACTCAAGGCCTACCAATATACCCACCTAATATAAATAACTGTTTTCCTTGTTGAAATAATTTCTACTTCAAAAACAAGGCATCCACATAAGCAAAGACATCATAATGAATAGAAATTATCACTTTTAATTTGATACTGTTTGAAATTTTCTGTTCATGTAACCTTTATAGCAAAATTGTAAAATAAATAGCCCCCAAACTGTTATGTATATTTTTGTGTTAACAAACTCAGTGCTAGAGTCAACTCTACTGAAAACTACTGAAAAAAATAACAATTTGGCTCTGAACTGGGCATACAGCAATCCATTTCTTTTATGATACCAGATAAATAGATTTCAGCACTAAGGATGAAAAGTTCACAGAATATATTTTGCTACTGAAAATTTAAAGAGTCATGTCAATGAACTGACAGAAGTTGTTTCAGTTCAGGTGGATATCTGAGACTGTAAGTATTAATCTGGCTTTTAATAAAACATAATTTTCCACATTTAAAAAACAAAATGCATCACTTTTTGGGATTCTTTTCTTTTAAATTACAATTTCAAGGCAGGTAAATTCTTTTTCTTTTAATCAATGAATAGAAATTGGAGAGTAAAGACTGAATTATTCTTCTGTCTTACCTATTGCACAAAGTATGTAAAGTGTCTAGCTAATATTTTAAAACTTTTTATGTTTACCTAGTTCTGTGGGCTGGACATAATTCTCACTCCATCACTCTTTCGCTCAGTAATTTGTTATTTGCGGGGAGGCAGATGTACCCATCAAAGGTACGTAGCCACAACTGAGCTACCGGAGGGGTGAGGAGTAGACGAAAAAACTATATGTTGGCAGGTTGAACTGCACTCTAAAAAATTATCAGTGTTCACTCTTCCTTCCTCCTTAACAGGTCCCTTACTCCAGGACAATATAGTGATTTAGTAGAGCAGTTAAATAATCTTGGTTGTAAAGTTTTGCTATAAAGCTACAAAAATAAATTAGACACATGGTAAGAAATTTAAACGATGTGAATGTACACCTCACCTTCTCTTCCTGGATGCTCAAATGCCATTTGCACAACCAATAGATTGTATACCCTTCGAGAGCTTTTCCATGTGCATCTTAAGGAATGCTTTTTCCTCTGCACAAACAAAAATCCACCCAAAACCAAATACAGGAGTATATTATATTATACTGCATGACACTGAACCTTGCATTTTTCTTCTTTATTGTGATCTCTATCATACATGCAGAAGAATGTACAGTACAAAATAACATTTTACAGACTAATAATGAGGCCGACAGCCACGGAACTCCACCCAAATCAAAAAGTAGCACCCCAGGAGCTGCCCAGGGGCCTTCCACAATCACAATTGCCCTTTTTCCCCTGGAGTCAATACTATTTGGCCTTTTAAGATAGGCCTGTCTTCATAATTTTACCACCTTTGCATGAATTCTTAAGGAATACTGTAAATTTTTTGTGTGTTTTGTTTCTGAAACTTTTATAAATGGAATTGTTCTGCATGTATCAGGTTTTAGAGTTGCCCATGTTGTCACTAGTAGCTGTAGTTCATTCCTTCCATTGCTCTACAGTATTCCATCATACGACTACCACTATTTACTTCTCCATTCTCCTGTTGATGGGTATTTGGGTCATGCTCAGTTGTGCAGTGTTACAGAAAATGTTGCTATGAACATCTGTGTACATGCGTACAAGTTCCTGTGAGGTCCTGGTCTCTTCATTTCCCCTTCCAGTAACGGACTGGAACACAAATGGAGAAAGAACAGTGAAATGGACTCTAGGTCTAGCTCTGCAAGTCACTTAACCTTTCTGGCTATTTGTTACATCATGTGCAAAATGGTGAGAAGGTAGACTTGCTCATCTCTACAAGGCCTTCCAGCATTTAGAACTTTATTATATACATTGAAAGTTACTGTTAACATGTGGATACTTGAAACAAAATGGATATTCAACTATCTCTTAATCTACCACCTCCATTCCTCCTTTCCTTCCCTTAACGTTGTTTAAAGCCTTTCATATTGTCTTTGACTCTGTGCTACATTCTGGATTTTTCTCATATATTCTGGTTCACTAATTTGCTCTGTATCTCTTGCATCTTTTTGAGTTAACTGTTAAAGTCACCTATTGAGTTTTTTTTTTTTATTTCAGTGTGTTTTTGCTTGAAAGAGATGCTGTTTGGTTATTTTATGTGAATAATTACTCATGATGCCTTGTTTATGTGCTTATTCTGTGGACAGCTCATTTTCTTTGAAAAATTACTTGTGAGATTTATGAGGGCTAGAATGAATGTATGTTTCCAGAGAAGATTTTCTGTTTGTTTTTGTCAGATGCCTGGGGCACCACCAATTTAAGTTTAATACACATGCTCTCAGGGCAAAAGTAGCATCAGTGTTCTGCTTATCTCTCTGGGTTCCAGCTTTGAAAGTTTGATTTGATAATTTATTCCTATAGTGTCAGCTTTTGAAGCTTCTAAGAAGGTCTTTAAAGGAGACTTCATCTATCATTTTCAGTTTTAATCAGGAGAGTTGATCCTGCTTCATAAATTAAACCTTTCATAACATCATGCTTTCATAAAGTACTTTGGCATCATTTCTAAATCAGCATAAAAATATACGTTATTCTTTTTGACAGCTCCATAGTATTCCATGGTTCAGACATATCACAATTTTCTTATCATACTCCTAATGATATATATTTAGATTTGTACCAGTACTGTAGTTTATAAATACTACATAAACATTTTTGAACAATCATCTCCATCCTTAGAAGAGATTTCTAGAAGTGAAACTGCAAGAGTAAAAAGATATAAATAATTTATATTTAAATAACTATAATAACTTTTCCTCTGAAAAGGTTGGGCCACTATACATTCACAACAATACAATATAAGAATGCACATTTATATTAAGAAAATCAATATGTCATCATGCATTACAATTTCTTTTTTCATAATTTGTCTTTTTATTCCTTTTACTTTGTTAAGGGTGCAAAAATTTTAAACAGATCAAAGTCTTCTTTCATGGTTCTATATCTGTTATGATGTTTTATTTATCTACTGTTCACATTCATGTCTAATATGTGTTCAACAAGCATTTATTAAAGTTAACTCACTCTAATAATGAAATAGTTGCAAAATAATTTTAAAACAACCTGCAAAGTATAAATATTTGCCACCTGGCCCTTTCCAGAAAAAGTTTTCCAACCCTAGGTAAAGAGGAAAAAAAAAATACAGCAAGAAGTGAGACAAATCCAAAAGAGAGGATACAATTAGCATGGCCCCCTCTTCAGTGTAATTTTTTAAAGTGGGGAGGGGAAATTATTCTAGATAAAAAGACCAGTAAGAGATATAATCAAATGCAAATGTAAACTTTGATTGATTGGATCCTGGAAAAAAACAGCTATAAAAACAATTTTGTGACAACTAAATACATTTGAATATGGACAAGATAGCAAACAAGATTAAGGGATAATTAACAATTTTCTAACATTGTTAATGGTATTATAGTTACATAAGGAGAATATCCTTATTTTTAGAAAATTCCTGCTAAAATACCTAAGAGTGAAGTTTTATAACATTTGCAACTTTTAAATGGTTTGACAAAAATGTACATACACATACACACAAACACAAACAAATGAGGCTAAGATTTTTAAAAGTAACAAGAGTTGAATGTATGTGGGGATACAGAGATAATCACTGTAATCTTGGAAAATTTCTGCATATTTTTAAATATTATAAACAAAAAAAAAACAGCTTACAAAAGAACATACATCTTATAATCACATTTCTGTGTATATTTGCATATATTCATTTTAAAATCTTCAAAAATATACATGCCAAAGTGTTGAAACTGGTTATTTTGAAGTAGTGGAATCACAGACAATCATTAGGTTGTTTTGTTTTGTTTTGACATTTCTTTGCATAGCCTTAGTATTTTACAGGGAATGTGCATTACTTTGGTACATTAAGAAAAAAAAAAACTATTTAAGGGAGCTTTTTATGAAAAACATGAGAGTAAACTGTTCATGTCTGGAATGTATTACGATTTATCATATTCATTGCTACTCTAAAAAAGATACTGTGGCATACTGATCCCTGAAAGAATGTGTTTTCAAAAGTGAGTTTCTTCTATTTTCCCCCATGAGACTTATCAAATCTAAATAGTCTCACTATAAAAAGTTATCATTTTTAGATGATACATTTATAAGTAATATCATACATAACAGTTTATACAGAGGTACCAAAAAGATAAAGATCCTTTGAAATACCATTCTTCCCCAAGCACCAAGTTGCTTAAACTTTAAGAACCTTTCTTTCAATGTTCTTTCCTTCATTTAGAATAGCACTAATCAAAAAGCAAAAGCAAAAAGCAAACAGACACTAACTTTCAGTCCTGCTTCCAGAGGTGGAACCACCAAGTAACGATTATCTTGTTCGTCTTCAGATATGTCATCTTCATTGCAATCCGATGGTTCACTCTAATAAATAAATAAATGCACTAAAACTAAAATTTTGAAATAATTGAAAATTCATAAAATTACCAAAATACAATTAAAGTATATCCAGTCAGAACAGTTTCCTATGTTACACACTATTCTATAAAAGGTAAACTACAGGCTAGATGCAGTGGCTCACATCTGTAATCCCAGCACTTTGGGAGGCCAAGGCAGGTAGATCACCTGAGGTCAGGAGTTCAAGACCAGCCTGACCAACATGGGGAAACCCCATCTGTACTAAAAATACAAAAAATTAGCCAAGCGTGATGGCAGGGGCCTGTAATCCCAGCTCCTTGAGAGGCTGAGGCAGGAGAATCGCTTGAACCCAGGAGGCAGAGGTTGCAGTGAGCAGACAAATCGCACCACTGCACTCCAGCCTGGGTGCCACAGAGTGAGACGCCATCAAAAAAAAAAAAAGGCAAACTATATATTTTCCCCATCATCTTCTTGTAACTAGACAGAAAGTATTATGATTCCTACTACTATCACCTAACATTTATATACTGCTTTACACAGTATCAGCTGATTAGCTTTCATTTTAAAGAGTAAACATTTTCCCATTTATTTAATTAAGAGACAGTGTCTTGCTCCATCACCCAGGTTGAAGTGCAACAAAATAACCATAGCTCACTGCAGCCTTGAATTCCTGGGTTCTCACTGGCTTTTTATAAAATCCTAAAATCCCATAACTGGAGAAAATAAAAATTATGCTCATTTTACAAATGCAAAACCTGAGGCTTAGAGAGATTTCATATTGATCTAAAAACTTCAAGGTCATAATTTCCCTTATGTCCAAGATCTCAAGATATTGTGAGCTGTTACTTCCTTTACTAAAGCAGTTTTCCTTTATTTTATTCCTTATTTAATCCAATATTATATTTATTTGTACAAAATGTGATTTTCACAAGCAACAATTAAGTTAATTTACAGTATAACCATCACTTAAGTGAGTACCAGATATACTATAATTCAAATTTATACCAAAAGCATGGTCAATTTGTATAACATTTGAAAAAAGATTCAATGTATATATTTAAAAGTTTCAATCTATATATTTTTAAAGTTCAAAATTTTACTTTAAGTGTAAAATAACCAATATTTAAATGGTAGGTCAAAGCTTTTGAGCACTTAAATTTTCTAAAATGGTTCTTAAAATAACATATAATAAGTAAATAGAATTTACCGAATAGTTTATGTTTCTAAGATCTGTTATTTTAAATGAAGTCAGGTAATCTGAGTTCAAGGCGTCCTTGAAAAGTAGGAGTACTTGTTCAGTTCCACTTCCAATAAAGTCATCTATCAATACCAAGCTAACTTTTTCCCACTTAGCAGCAACCTAAAAGAAAAGGATTATTATAGGAGGAATAGACAAGAAAAAATCAAATGTGAAATAAACAAATTAAGTCTTTTTGTTTCATGGAGTTGTAATTTGTAAAATTCAATCTTATAAATGGGTAATGAAAATAGTAAAAACTAAAATAAAATAAAGATGTTAGGGGATGAGAAAATATAAGGAGTTGTAACAACTTTATAAATAGCAAGGTACTTAGATTTAAGATTTTATTCATGTTTGTCCAGGGACTGTCAGGTTCTTGATTTCTATATTTAAAATTTAATTGTAATCTATTTATACATTCTAATACATTTCATGACTAAATCTTTTGGAAATTCTAACATTTATCATGCGTCAAACTTTAATGAAGATTCTTTCGCACAGCTAATTTAATTCCCGTAAGTCTTAGTGGATATATATTTGTGATCAAATTACTCAAGGAATTCAGTTACATTAGCTAACCAGATAGTACTAAAAGACACCTTAAGAGCTCTTAATGCAAAATAACCTATAATAGAGTCCAGAAGATCTTAAAACGTTAAACCCTGGTGTGAGTGTGGAGGGGAATGTAGCTAGTATCGGGTACAAAGGTGAGGGGTCCTAAGAGTGGGACAGCAAGAACCATCCTAGCTTCATGGAATGATTTGATCAGTTTATATCAGAACCTGAGACCTCAGATTTAAAATAGAGGACAACTTCTTAAAAGGTACATATAGGTGAAAGCCTCAAGATTGGTTTCAAGGAAAACTAACACCATGAGAATCAAATTTCCCTTCTCCCTGAGACAAAAGAGCTAAAACCCCGACTCAGAATTCCAGGAGCGGATACATTATCCAGATGCCCAAATATCAACCTTGCCCTATAAGGCTAATTTCCAAAGTTGATTATTCACTTGTGCAGAGAAACAGCTTATTTGTAAAGCCATATCCTCCCTTTCTCCCACAAGTATCATGGTATATAATGGACTATGGGAAGAGACATTAGTAATAAGAATGTGTTTGGCATGCAAACAGCACAGAACTATGCATGCATGTGTGCACACACATATTTGCAATCTATAGCTGTAGAATAGTGCCATCCAGTAGAATGGTAAGTGAGCCCCAAATATAAGGCATGTAATTTTAAATTTTCTGGTAGCAACAAAAAGATGAAATTTTAATATATTTAACAAAACATATCTAAAATATTGTCATTTCAATTCAATGTAATCATTTAAAAATTGAGAGATGTTACCATTTCTATTAAATCTTTGAAATTTGATGTTTGACATTTATAACACATTTTAATTCTGACTAGCCACATTTCAAATGTTGTATAACTACATCTGGATAGTGGCTACCATATTAGACAGCACAGCACCAGAACACATTAAGCTCTATCGACAACATACCAATAGCTATGCTTCAGGTATATCTGATAATTACCTCAATTTTATTGACAGATGGATTTTTTTGAGACAGGGTCCCATTCTGTCACCCAAGTTGGAGTGCAGCGGCATTATAACAGATCACTACAGCCTTGAACTCCTGGGCTCTAGCAATCCTTTCACCTCAACCTCCAAAGCAGTTGGGACTACAGGCATATGCCACTATGCCCAGCTAATTTTCTAATTTTTTGTACACATGGGGGTCTCACTATGTTGCCCAGACTGGTGTCAAACTCCAGGCCTTAAGCAATTTTCCTACATTGGCCTCCCAAAGCACTGAGATTACAAACGTGGGCCAACACACCCAGCCAATGACCTCAATTTTGAAATGCCTGCCACATAGATTCTTACCGAAACTTACAGAGAAAATTTCTACTCAAGAGAGAAATCCTAAGAAGAAAAAAGCTAATCATGTATTCCTCTAGATTCAGCTCTGTTTCAAGTCCTATAACCACATTAAACATCACACCTTGGGCTTTTATCAAGTGTTAATCTGGGAACACACTAACCTTGATTTTCATTATTTAATTTATGCTTGTTTATAGTTCACCTATCTTTGTAAGCTGTCTAAATTCCTTCTTGGAATGAGGTGGTTAAAGGATAGGTGGATGGATAAATCCACAGCCTACCCAAAAACAGACTGGTTCTATTGCTATTTGGGGGGAAAACTGCTATCAAAGACCCACCATATTATTTAATAAGGTATTCAACTTACTACTCAACATCTTTTACAAAATACCACAAATGGTAAATTCTCAGAACTTAAATGTTAGAAAAAAATTTTACCTTATAGTATGTTCCATTCAGTTGTAAAACCCACCATATTTACTTTTTTGTCTTAACTGCTAAAACTAAATGTAATTGTTCAAATGTAATTACTTCTCTTAACCTAGGGGTTTTTTTTTTTTTTTTTTTTTTGGCATAATTATTTCTACTCCCACTTTATTTCTAGATTCTTAGCTTTTATTTGTTTTTTAAATTTATTATTATTATTATTATTATTATTATTATTATTATTTTGAAACAGATCTCACTCTGTGGACCAAGCTGGAGTATAGCGGGGTGATCTCAGCTCACTGCAATCTCCACCTCCCAAGTTCAAGAGATTTTCATGCCTCAGCTTCCTGAGTAGCTAGGACTACAGGCGTGTACCATGTTAGTTGGCCAAGCTGGTCTTGAACTCCTGGCCTCAAGTGATCCGCCTGCCTCAGCTGCCTCAAGTGCTGGGATTACAGGTGTGAGCCATCATGCCCAGCCTTGTTTCTGTTCTTAAATTAATTGAATACTTTATCTTAAACTATATTTCTTTTTTTTTAAGAAGCTGAGTATAAATGTAACATCAAGATAGAAGCAGGATCTGAATATGCCCAAAGTGGCAAGGTTAGAGGCAACTTCAAAGCACTTGTAGATATCAGGGTGTAATTCCAGAGCTTTTAAAACAGGGCATTTGAGAGCAGGTTAGAAGTACAGAATTCCTCAAGAAGCAACGTAGGGGGTAAGTCAGTAGGGACTGAGGTAAGTAATGTGTGGAAAAGATGGTGGCACACTGTAGAGAGAGTGCCCTAGAACACAACTTCAGGTCAGGGAAGCAGCAGTTATAGGTCCACCTACAGGTAATAATGTAGTCTCCTGCCTCGGGTAACATGTTAGTGGCAGAGCTTTCCAGGGTCCAAGGAGGGGACCCACTTCAAGTGAGTGAGGACTGCAATAAATGACATATAAAGGAATTGTTTTTACCTTATCTAGGTGAACAGGGGATCCTGAGTAGGAACAAGTAACTGATGACAGCCCTGCCCTTTGTCTAACATAGTAATAGCTACTACTTACTGAGTTCCTCCTGTGTGCCAAGTTCTGTGCAAGATACTTTACAATGTTATTAGACTTAACTCTCCCCTCTGAGTCAGGATGATCCCAAATTTCATAAAAGAGGAAAATGGGTTCACAAGAATTACATTCCTTAAGGTAGCACCAGTACACTTACTGGCTCAGTTAGGATTCAAACCCAGGTTAAGTGTGTTCTTTCTATTATATTACCTTAACCACAGTAAAAAGACTATAGGGCACACCAGACGTTTTTCCCCTACCATTTCTTTAAAGGAAAAAAGACAGAAAGACAATTCCAAATAACTGTCAAATAAATGTATAATGTGATTTTAAAAGACTGCTTTTCAAAATAAAATAGGATAGCTTTCAAATTATTTTCCTTTTGTGTTCTCTATGTATTATAGAGGATAAATATGTATTATAGAGATTCAAAATAATTCCTATTAATATAAAAGTACTTGGTAAGGCAAAGACAGATTCACAATTCTAACTTAACACTCCTTCCCCCAACACATAAACCATAACGATTCACATTTAAAAATGAATTTCAAACTTTCTAAAACATTTAACAATATTCCATATAAAGCTTCTAATTAAATGGACAGGGCACACAAAATAAGGCAATATCTGCTTTTTTCTCCCAAGTAGCACAAAAACTAAAAATTGTATAGTGTACTAGTTTTGGAAGAGACATTTCTAACTAGCACTGATGATTTATCTTAATTCATAAACACTTCAAATCACATAACTGAATACATTTTAAGCCAGGAGGATGTAACATTACCCAAAAAAACAGAATCAGAGAAATATTATTGGTAGAGACACCCAGTTACAAACCTCTAATTTCTTACTGATTTTCTGCGCTTTTTTACCTGTTATTTAACACTCAATACTATTGAATATTTTAGAGCAATTTCCAAACCTTACATTAAAAGTGAATACTTGCTGAAAAGTCAGTTCTGCATTTCAAAAGATAACATAATAAAAATCTGTGGGTAAGTTTTTAGAAAAAGTAATGCTTACCACTTGTCTCTGGAGAACAAATTATTTGTCTCTCCAGAAACAGTAATAGATTTCAAGGAATTTTTCTATATTTCACTTTCAGAAATAAATCAGAGACAAGAAGTAAATTTAAATACATAATTATTAATGTTTAAAAAGTTGGCCGGGCATGGTGGCTCAGGCCTGTGATCCCAGCACTTTGGGAGGCCGAGGCAGGTGGATAACTTGAGGCCAGGAGTTAGAGATCAACCTGGCCAACATGGTGAAACCCCATCTCTACTAAAAATACAAAAATTAGCCAGGCGTGGTGGCACATGCCTGTAATCCCAGTTACTTGGTAGGCTGAGGCAAGGGAATTGCTTGAACCTGGAAGGCAGAGGCTGTAGTGAACTGAGATCACACCACTGCTCTCCAACCTGGGTGACAGAGTGAGATCCTGTTTCAAATGAATGAATGAATGAATGAATGAATGAATGAATGTTGAAAAATCAATTTGAATTTTCCAGGAAGGCTTATTTATCTAGTCAAATCACTAATAATCTTATTCTAAGTAAAATTACATATCTACTATCATATTAATAAAAATTAGAAAGTTATACCCAAAGACAAATAAATACATAATTATAGTTACATATGTATTTACATATTTCCAAACAACTCAAAGGCTTTATGACTCAAAATGGCAAGATGAAAAAAACACCATCATATCAACTTTAAGAAAAAAGAACAATGTAATATACATCAAGTATAGAACTGAAAATTGACTTAGATAATAAGACTCCAGAAGGAACTCTATGAAGTATAGAAATGTTTCAAACATCTGAGACCACCAATGGAATTATTATGGCAATAAGTATTATACCTGAAAGTTCTCTCTCCATACAGCACAAGCATTATTGGACCTAAAGGATACAATGAAAAAGAGGTTTCCTCCACCTGAATCCATAAGTTGAACTGCACAAGGATCTCCAAATGGAAGCTGGCACACACTTTTAGGAGTTCCATTCTGAAATGAAATCAGCTGATTCTTTCGAGTAAGGGCGATGAGAGATATTCTTAACTGGTTGTTGATGATCTCACTTGCACAGATATGTATACAAGTCACCACACTGCTATAAGCAGGAGGAATAATGTATGTATCACTTATTACTTCTTGACTTTCAAGAGAATATATACAAAATTTGGTATTCCAAATTGCATAATCTGATTTTGAAGGCTCCTGAGTACATTCTTCCTCGGATAAATAACATTCTTTTAGTCCCAATAAAACTATACCTAAATTTTTAATCTCCCCTGCCCACTGAATAGAGGAAAGGTTACCTAACACACTAATAACTTTGCTAGTTTGAGAAGAGATAAAGAGGAATGTTTTGACATGCCTCCACAAAATTAAAGGGCCATTAAGGACCCTTAGGCTGTCCTTAATCTCATAGCCTAGTTTAAAACTCAAACGCATTTCAAATTTATTGGTACTGTGAAGAATTAATAAAAAGTATTCAAAAACATTATTCTTTTTACTGTTTTGTATCACAATGTAAGGGAATTTAATTCCAGTTCTGAAATCTGACACATAGTCACAACACATGATTTTTAAATGAGAGTTTTCTTCCTTCATGGTAAAAAATCCAGTGGACTTCTGAACAAATACTTTTGTTCCTCTGTCAAATACCATTCTTCTGACATGTAATATGGGTGTTTTTGTAGGCTCTTTATCTGCAAAATTTCCGTTAGACAACTGGAAAACAAGGACTTCCCCATTATAACACAAGAGCCTTTCTTGTTCATTAGATGACATTGCTTGTTTGCTAGTGATTCCACAATATCAAGTCTTTGTGTTGATCTAATTTTCAAATGCAAATTGATTCCAGTTGATGTTTCTAAACCTAAAAAAGAAATGAGGAAAAACTGCCATGAAGTAGGAAGAGTTGAGAAAACTCATGTTTCTGTTAGAGAACTACAACATAGGTAACTAATTTTATTAAGTAAACATTTTAAGCTTTTTATACTATTTCGACAATATCATGCTTAACATAAAGGGGTGTCTATTTCTGTAGACCCCTTTAAAAAGTTTGCTAGGAATACAAATAACCATATGAAAAAAAATAACTGAATGTATTAACAGCATATATTTGAAGCGTTAAATGCTCTATTAAAAGTGACTTCAGATATTCGTTCTGGCTCAGAAAATTGCTTAAGGATTGTACTTCTTTGTTTCAAACCTAACAACTCTAATGTGGTTTCCCACTCTCTGCCTTAGCCCCTTTAGAATGACAATTCAATTAGTGGTTACTTGTCTTGCAACTCAGTCTCTCCAAATACAGTGATTTTGAATTATGCTTCTCCCACAGTCCAGGCACTTGGGCTTCTGTTTCCTAGAAACGGGAACCTGTATAGGCTCCATGACAAAAAAGAAACCCCAGGAATAAAGATAGGAGATGCTATAACAAAGCTTTAAAAACTCTCCATAGGAGAAATACAAATAAATCTTACTTTACAAAGGCAATGCATTGTATGCATTTGTATGACCCAAGAAAGTCACTATTCTTATTCAAACTAGGAAAAAAAATTGAGGACTAACACAACTTATTATAATGAACACAATAATTAATAATAGCTATCATTCAAGCTTATTATATAGCAGGTACAATACATGCATTCTTCAATTCTAACAACTATTCTCTTAAAAGAAGTACTATTATTATTCCACCTTTTAAGCAAGAAAGCCTTATTTTAAAGAAGGTAAGAAAACTTTCCAAGGTTAGAACAGTAATCCACAGTTAATAATAATCAGCAATGGTACTAGTTTGGAAAAGGAGCCTTCTGACTCCTGAGTCTTCACTTTTAACCACCACTTTGTCCTAGCATGCATTCCCTTATTCTGAAAAAACTCATTGTAAGAAAGGAAACTGAGAGAATTAGTAAAATAAAGGACAAAAGAACATCCTCAATATTGAACACACATATAAAAAATTTGTTGATCTCTCTTTATTCAGTTTAAGATATACTGCATACAAGAAATCGTAGCCAAAGCAATTAAGCAAGAGAAAGAAAGAAAAGGCATTCAAATTGGAAAGGAGATGTAAAACTGTCCTTGTTTGCAGATGACATAATCTTATACAGAGAAAACCCTAAAGACTCCACCGAAAAATTGTTAGAACTAATAAATTCAGTAAAGTCACAGGATACAAAATCCATGCACAAAAATCAGCAGCATTTCTATATGCTAATAAGTGAACTATCTGAAAAAGAAATCAAGAAAATAATTCAATTTACAACAGCTACAAAAAAAATAAGATAACTAGAAATAAAGTTAACAAAAAAAGTCAATGATCTCTACACTGAAAACTATAACACACTGATGAAAAAAATTAAGATGACACAAATTAATGGAAAGATCCCATGCTCATGGATTGGTAGAAGTAATATTGTTAAAATGGCCATACTACCCAAAGCAATCTATAGACTTAGTGCAATGTCTAGCAAAATATCATATTTTTAACAAAATACCCTATCATCCAAATTCAAATGGGGCCAAGAAAGACCCCTAATAGCCAAAACAATACTGAGCAAAAAGAACAAACCTAAAAGCATCACATCACCTGATTTCAAAACATACTACAAAGCTATAGTAACTGAGAAAGCATGGTACTGACATAAAAACAGACACATGGACTAATGGAACACAATGGAGGGACCATAAATAAAATCATGCACCTATGACCAACTAATTTTTGACAAAGGTGCCAAGAACCACACACTGGGGAAAAGACAGTCTGTTCAATAAATGGTGGTACTGGGAACTTGGATATCCACTCGCAGAGACCAGACTCCTACCTCTCACCATATAAAAAAATTAACTCAAAATGGATTAAAGACTTCAATGTATACCTGAAATTATTACACTACCAGAACAAAACATAGTGTAAACACAATGACATTGGACTGGGCAAGGATTTTTTAAATAAGATCTCAAAATCACAGCCAACAAAAGCAAAAAGAGGCAAATGAGATTACATCAAATTGAAAAGCTTTACACAGCAAAAAAAAAAAAAGTAAAGAGACGACCTACAAAATGTAAGAAAACATTTGCAAACTATACATCTGATAGGGGCTTAATATCAGAATATATAAAGAACAGCAATATCCCAATTTTTAAAATGGACAAAATAACTTAATAGACATATTTCAAATGAATACACGAAAATGGCCAACAGGTATACAAAAAAAAAAAAAATGCTCAGTATCACTCATCATCAGGGAGATACAAATCAAAAAAACCACAATGAGATACTACCTAATTCCAGTTAGGGTGGCTATTATTAAAAAGACAAAGGATAACAAAAGTTGACAAGCATGTGGATAAAAAGGAACACTTACACACTGCTGGTAGGAATGTAAATCAGTATAGCCACTATGGAAAACAATATGGAAATTCTTCAAAAAATTAAAAAAGAGAACTACCATATGATTCAGAAATCCCACTACTGGGTCTATATCCAAAGGAATACAATCAGCATCAAAGAGATGTCTGCACTCCCATGTTTATTCAGCACTATTTACAACAGCCAAAATATGGACTCTACCCAAGTGTCCAACAATGAATCAATGGATTAAAAAATTTGGTGTATATCACATGTTCTCACTCATAGGTGGGTGTTGAACAATGAGAACACATGGACACAGGGAGGGGAGCATCACACACTGGGGTCTGTCAGGGGGAAATGGGGAGGGACAGCGGGGGGTGGGGAGTTGGGGAGATAGCATGGGGAGAAATGCCAGATATATGTGATGGGGAGGAAGGCAGCAAATCACACTGCCATGTGTGTACCTATGCAACAATCTTGCATGCTCTTCACATGTACCCCAAAACCTAAAATGCAATTAAAAAATAAAATAAAATAAACAAATAAATACAAATTAAAAAAATAAAAATAAATTTGGTGTATATAACAATTGTTGATGCACAGTATGGAATACTATTAATATAGCCACAAAACTAAATGAAATCCTGTCATCTGCAACAACATGGACAGACTCAGAAGACATCATGTTAAGTGAAACAAGCCAGTCGCAAAAAGACAAATACTGCTTGATCTCACTAATATCTGGAATCTAAATTTTTTTTTTAAAAAAAAGAGTTGCTATCATAGAAGCAGAGAGTAGAACAGTGGTTATCAGAGACTGGGGCAGGGAGAGAGGATGGGAGAATGGGGAGGGGTTGGTAAAAGCGTATGAAGTTACAATTAGATAGGAGGAATATGTTCTGGTGTCCTATTGCACAGTAGGGTAAAGACAGTTAATAGTTAGGTGTAATTTATTACTTATTACAAAATAACTAGATGATTTTTAATGTTCTTACTAGGAGGAAAGGATACATTCATGAGGGAAGGATATACTAAATACCCTGACTTGACAATTATACAATGTATGTATATATCAAAACATCAAAACATCAAATTGTACTCTCTAGATATATACAATTAAAATGTGTCAATAAAAACAGATAAAGAAGAAAAAAAAGAAGTCACTGGTGTACTGTTTTTTGTCAGGTAATTAACACAAAGATCTGGGACAACAGTTATCACAAAGTAGTTTCAGCTTCATCAGTAAAGAAGATAGGGTAGGTAAATCAAACCTGTGGCTTTTACTTATGAAACTATAATTTAGAGAAAATAAACATATTAGTTATATTCCATCAAAATGTATGAATAATGATGTATTTCCCAAAGGTCCAGTGTCAGGTATCCTAGATTTCTGGAAAGGAAAAGATTAAAATTACACATGCTGAGGTAAAGCTCTAAGAATTCACCATCTTTTACTACCTATTCAAAGTTTTTCAGATTTCTTAATATCAAAAACAAATTAAAATCACCTCTGTACAAATTTCATTATTTTAATGTTAAATATCACAACTAATGTTTAATCAGTGCAATGCTCTGGTTCACTTACCAATAACTTAAATGTGAAAGGAGTAAGGAAAATTTGATTGTAAAATGGTCAGAATTTAGGAAAATTAGGCCCTTTACATTTTGCTCTTTAAATGTCATCATCAAGTTCCCTAAGTTAGAAATATCTACCTTCCAACTTTCTACTCCAGTTGCCACTACAGTTCAGGCTGTGATCTTTCAGGCTGAGGTAAAAGCTTTATTAGTCTTCCTTATTCTCATCTCTCTCTCCACCAACACACACTTGATCCTGTCACTGCCCATCCCCTAATCCAAAAGCCTGCATGCCCCTTGCCCTTCTCAATAGACCTGTGACTCTTGAAGTACTACCTAGAAAAATAGATGCTAAACACTGTGCATTGAAATGTTGTAAAGAAAACAAGCTTGAGAACCATTGCTATGAAGCTTAGCATGGCATTCAAAACTCTTTTATAATCCTAATTCAACCTGCTTTTAATGTGATCTCCAGGCAAAAAGCAAACTTATTTTCATGAAATCAAACAGATTAAAAAACGTAAATGACTACTGAGTGAAAAGTTTTTGCAAGACTTATTGAATTTGCATATATGTGCATACCCACTATATTTTATACTGATGCAACATGTTTTCAATCTCTTTTGTTTTTAATGTGTTTGCTATTTATTAATTAGATCTAATTACTACTCAATCATTAAAATTAAATTCATTGCTAAAATGAATTTAACTTTTTTCTCAGCTTTATTGAAGTGTAACTGCTAACCGAGTAGATAGTAGGTATTGCTGCTGTAACATCTATTTTAAAAGTTCTTGGCATATGCTCATAAAACCTGCAGGCAATGAAATAACTAGCATTTTTTAAAAGACAGAAACATATCTGGAAACCAATCAAACTAAG